CATCATTGCAAAAATATTCCAGATAATGAACATGTCAAACACAGTTTTGTAATGCTGCTCTTATCCAGCCTGTTGAGTTTTTCTGCGTTCTATGTTAAACTAGCAGCGCTTTGTTTTCCTACATGATGTCTGCAACAGCAGTGATCCCAGTCAATGAAAACAATGTGTCTCCTCAGTCACAGCTGGTCATTGGTCAGCTGTCCTTTTCCCTAAAGTATAGGTCCAAACCCTTAAATACTTGCAGTGAAATGGGAGAAGGCCCTGTTGCACTCAGCTTGAATGTCTTTATGGGCTCACTTAAACATTGTTTTTATTGCTTTTGCTGGCTGCTCTGTGAAGAGAGGAGCTTTTGCTTGTGCATGGAGTGCAAAACATTTCTAGGTTGCTTGGTGCGGTGGATACTAAACAACAGAGAGGTAATTAGGTCATTTGCTGTCATACTAGTTTGTGTCTCTAAAAGAAGACACAGCCACAGAAAAGGACATTGTTGTTCTGTGAAGCCTCTATTTACTGCTGCCCCTCCATTAACAACTGTCTTTAAATCAAGCCCTCTTTAATGGGAACAAAAACACTTCCATGTGTTTTTCTCCCCTCACTGGCACCATGACATTGCTTAGACAATATCTTTCTCTTTAGACCTACAAAGCACATAAATACGTTACGTCTCAGTTTTTATGCTTGCCATCGTGGAAGCAGAAAAGGTATCTTTGTTTGAATAAACAGATGCTGAATTAAAGGACCAGTGTGTACGATTTAGCGGCATAGATTTGCAGATTACAACTAATTTAAATATATTATTTGTCTCCAAAGTGTGTAGTGGCCACGAAACTAACGACCAACTTGAAAGGCTCTTATCTAGAGCCAGTGTTTGGTTTGTCTGTTCTGGGCTACTGTAGAAACATGGTGGTTAAACATGGCATAGAAGAGGACCCATTCCCTCTGTAGATAAAAACAGCTTATTCTAAGGTAAAGAAACACAACTATTCCCAAATTCAGGTGCTTATAGGCAAATTAAACCATAACTATGCATACAGTGTTACATTTCTGCCAGTAGATCCTCTTAAATGTTACACACTGGACCTATAACCTACAAAGCTGAAGCAAATATAATAGAAAAAGAAATCATCATCAATGCAGTTGTGTGAGAGAGAGAGAGGTGACGAGTTGTACCAAACCTGTAAAAGCCTGGAGCACTAAGAACCAGAGAGAGATACTGAGGAAGTCTGTCCTGAACAGCAGGTACTGCCAGGCCGAGTTTCACTGACTTTCAACAATATAACCATTGTTTATAATGGAGACTCCTTCCAGTCTGAAACAAATTGCATGTGTGCAAAGACCTCACCCCACCTGGCTCAGTGATGTGCCACATCATATCTTGATATATTCTCCTGCTGTAAGTGTATAAGCTCTACTCATGACCCTGAGGGGTCCTCTGGGGTGAAAAAGAACCCCAAATGACATATGTAATGCTCAAAAAACTATACATGCACACTGTAAGTTATACACATGGAGAGAGGCATGTAACTGCCCATTGTCCACTACGGGGACTTGATGACCCGTAACCTCGAGCTTTCCATAACCTGAACTTTACACAACCTGTAAGGCTTTGGTTCTATGATCTGCCTTGCTTCTCCACTGTGGTTTTCAAACCAGAACATTGGAATAAATGTCGGTGAAATAGCCACACCACTTTGCAAATCAGGAAAACACTGTCACAGCTCACGGTGGGACTGACAGCAATGGAGAAAGTTGAGCTAATGCACATCTTTTTTTTACGTTTAGACATACTAGCTCTTATGTCTCTGACACAACAGTAAATTGGTAAATTAATAGAAGGGTCCCACCAACAATGGGAGGTAGAAATGTAACAATATATAACCAGACAGTGAAACCGCGATACAAATATGTGAAGATTCAAATCGGTGAAAGGAATAATTAATCATGATACTATTTTTAAACAGCAGAGGGCTACGTTACTCACGTCAGCAGCAGGCAAAGTCATGGCGGCCTTAGATGAATGGTTTGAAAATGGGGATGCACCATCCTGTTTAAAACCAGAGGTGTAGTAGCTTTAAGTCAGGTAAAAAGATATGAGACAAGAAATGGCAAGAGATATGTTTTCCGTAGTTTACAGGGATATATTTTAAGTTCCACATTTACAAAGAAAAGGAAATATGCAGTGTTTTGCACAGTTAACCCCTACCACAGAAATAAAAAAGCATTGTAAGAGAAAATAAATTCTTTAGATTTTTGTCTGAGAAATAAAGGGATATTTTCCAGCCATCAATTGTCTTCAATCTCATTTTGTAAAAAAAAAATGAAAAAAGATGAGAAAATGATATTGTGAATTGTATTGAATTATGAGTGGAGTGTATGGTTACATCCCTAATGGGAGGTCATCAGAATGGAATAAAGGGAGACCAGCATTACTGGAAAATCTAATTTAACCCCTGTAGTTGCATACTCCCCAACACTGTACACACAATTTACTCTTAAAAATGCAGAACAAGGCAGCAAAACATGCAGAGCTCATATTCTGAATCCCAATATCACCTGTATATTGAAACACACTTCCAGTGCTTATCTATACACATGACCTGTCCCTTTGCTGCGTTGGAAGTGAGCATTTCCCCCAACAATAACTGGAACTTGCATTTAGAACATGAGCAGTGCCCAAATGTAGGATCAGGAACTTGGCCCCCATAAAAGCAGAACCTGTGACAATGGCTCCACATTAAGTCATGGGTCATTGAGAGATGGAAAAGGCCTGTGTTGGTTGTTAAAGTTTGATTTAGAGTAGCTGAGAAGAAGATACTTAATGCTTGATTCATACAGAAACAAACTACATCAAATACTCTCAAAATGGGACCGTTGCTGCTGTTGTTAGGGACGAGCTCTTCCAAATATAGACATTTAAATGATGGGCCTTTGAGATCATCAAGTTAGGTAAGCAGAGTAACAGTAATTTAGGTTGGATTGAACTGCAGAGCCAAATGGTAGCCCCATTCAGACCTCTAGTGCTGAGTCAGAATAGAAAAGGATACAAGTTCATGTGTCAGATAAAAACCACATCCTTGACCACTCCAGAGCTGTATGCTTAACAGTTCACGGGTTAATTCAAATATAGCCCTATTAGGCAAAAATATTCATTCATGTGGGATAATGTAGAGATAACCTTAAATGCATTGAGGAAGGAGTTTTCTCTGTGGGAGATACCCACAAAAGTGACATGTATTTATCTTTTAAGCAGAGGAACTTAAGTACCACTGGGGGCCCCAGTGATATTTGGAGACGAGGAATATTTAACATTTCCTGATTTTATGCAAAATTGGAGTTTACTGAACACTTGTAAGGTTTAAAATAATGGGATTAACTGAGGACTGTAGGTGTTGGTGGGATGAGAGAACACAAGTGACTCTTATATACTGAATTACATGGAAGAGAGTCTGGGGATTCAGTTTTATTGTGATTTCTCTCATGTACCCAGGTTTAATCAAATACAGGCTGTGTATTATATTATTGTGAGTGTGGGTCATTTATCAGGCTTAGAGAATGGAACACTCCACATGCGCCACCATTTCAACATTAGGTTTATATATCTGAATAACATGGTATGAGATAATGTTATCAATAAAGAACCAAGGAAAATGAGAAATATAAAGGACTATAGAGGTCATTTATGTTACAAACACATTTAATGTAATTACCTTTTATATAGGATTGTGTGCATGAAATGCTAGATATGCACTTCTGAATTGTAATCCAGGTACCAAAAATGAAATAAAACGTGTCCATATTGGCTTAATGCGGATAAGTAATTTTAAGGGGGGAACAATTTAATGTAGGTGTAATGTTATGCAACTGTGATATATGATTTTGGTTTTGTATACAATATACAATAAACAAGAAAAAATGCAACAGTTCCTAATAGACATTTTCACCTAATTAATATCGAAATGGCTGCTGTGAAAAAGGTCAATTACAAGTCTTGGAGAAGAATGTGAGCCATATTTCTTTTCCATGAAGTTTTGAGTTGAACTTTTCTTTCTAAAGAGCATCTAGCTGAGGTCTGTTTCTTAAAACACACAAGACAGTGAAGTTGGATGAAGCTGTGAAAGAAGAGACCCGACAGAAGCTTCTTCCTTAACACAGCTGTCCATACTATCCTGTTCTCTGCTACGCATATGCTAGCTGTGCCAGCGCCCCCAGCTTCATGTTTTGTTTCCTCACCTATATTTCATCAACATGTGGGCGCTCGCCACTGTTCCACTTGGAACTCATGAGTGTAATCATCTTATACAATGTCCATTTATTTTCGGATGCTTCCTGTCAGTGGACCGCGTTTGAATGTGTCCCCGTGTTTTTTTCAATTATTTTGTGTTGCCCCGTTTTTTCCCCATGTAGTATAGATAAGCACTGTCACTTCATCCTCGCTTTGTCTGGCAAGGGACAGGGATATCGGAAAGGAAAAAATTGTTCTTAGAGATGTTTCCTTTGAGTAATAATATCTTGAAATAATGGCAATGTTGGGACAGTGAAACTAATACTCCTAATATTGCCTTGAAATGTCCTTATGAGTAGCTCTAAAGTTAATAAAATACTTTTCCTACACTGTTTGACAACAGCTCATATTTATTTTACATCTTGTGCCGGTACTCTTCATTAAAGCTACATCATACTACACTTATGACTGAATCAGTTATGCTGCATCATGAAAAGAAAAGATTTCTCCTGCCTCGTTTTGTGCACATTTCCCTGCCTGCACATGTTTGGCAAACCCCAGGATCGTGAATAGAATCTAAATTGACGTTTTGTGGGTTTTGTGCATGCTGTAGTGCTGTCCGCCCATGAGTTTGTAATAATGGACTTTCAAAGGGTTTGTGAAGTTGAAGATGTTAAAGTCAGTTTTTTCAATCACCATTACCTGATTTGATATCTTTCCTTGAAATGAAAAATGCTTGTCTAATGTGGCAACCCCTCTCTTTCTCTGTATCTTTCAGTTGTCCCTCGGGGATGAACAGTGTGAAGTGACACGGAACGGCTATGAGTCCAAGGAGCTGGTGTACTTAGTTCATATTTACTGCCAGGTAAGACAGCAGACTCCACTGGGTCGGCGGTGCAGTCATACAGAAATATAAATGCATACCCAACCTCCCACAGCATGCATACACTTCATGTAATTATATACAAACTTTCACAGCCACTCAATTTTTACCTGCAAACACACACAAAAAAAAAACTGTCAAAGGTGATTTCCAACCCACAAATGATGGTTCAGTACAATCTGTTCACAAACCCAGCACAGTCCTCCCTGTGAGCAGAGGGCTGGCTCAAATTCATACATTTCTAAAATACCTAACTTATTGTTTCAAAAATCTCAAAAAGTTATGTGGGAATTTGGAACTGAATGGAAAAGAGCTGTGGAAGGATGCCAGGATGGGTGAGTGATTCTAAAGAATGTCGGATAGAAAGGGCTTCAGAGTGCGAGTTCTTCAAACCCAGAGGTTTTATAAAGTACTGCACACCTGTTCCTGCATATTTTATGTTACCTCTGCTGTATTTTTCAGATTTCGATGCTTATGTAGATCTCTTGGAGGATAGTAGGCCTGTCACAATAATTATGTTATCGACTTATCATTTAAGAATGTCAGCAACATTTTAGCCAACGTGATGCCGGAATAAACAGCAGGGTTTTCCATACTATTACTATATTGCCTGTTAAGGAATGAATGAATGACTCTATAGCCTAGTATTAGTACTAGTATTGATTTGCAATTTTTGCTCAAGGTCCAGTGTGTAACATTTAGGAAGATCTTTTGGCTGAATAGAATAGAATATAATATAATAATAATATTCATAGGTATGTTTTCATTAGTGTGTAATCACTTGAATATAGGAATCATTGTGTTGTCTTTAACATAGAATGTGCCGTTTTTATTTCCAGACACCACAGGTCGCCATGGAGTCCGCAATGTTTCTACAGTAGCCCAAAACGGACAAAGCAAATTGACTCTAGACAGGGCCTTTTTGTTTTTTTCCCTATTTTTGCAGCCAACGTAATTTCTCCTACACACTTCACGGCCCATTCTAATTCCAAGGTTGTCAGATACAGACGCGAGCAGTGTTCAGTTAGTTGTAATCTGTAATCTGCAACTTTACCGCTAGAATTCCAATGTCAAAATATTCTTAAGAATTAAAAGTTAACTGCTCATGCACTGTTATGCTCATCATTATATTAGTGACATAAAATGGTGTTAAAGGTCTAGTTTGTAGGATTTAGTGTTATTTTGCAGTGTAGTTGCAGATTGCAACTTGCTCCCTTCACCCTCCCCTTCTAAGTGCGAAAGAGAAACAAGTGCAAAAAATGCAAACACCCCATTCAGAGCCAGTGTTTGGTTTTTCCCTTCTTGGCTAATGTAGAAACATAGTGGTTCAACATGGTGGACTCTATTGAAGGCGACCCGCAGTGTCTGTAGATAAAAACAGCTCATTCTAAGGTAACAAAAACACAATGGTTCCTACATTCAGGTGATTTTATACACTAATGAAAACAGTAGTATCAGTTGCTATTATTGATGGCAGAGGCCTTATGGCGTATTCCCTTCATCTGGCACTGCTGTGTCCATAGTTGTCTCATTCTTACAGATAGTTGTTCATTCCTTGCTTAGTTTCACTGCAAAGGTCTTGCAAAGTAGAAAAAAGTTGACTTAGTCATCTTTAAAATTCCTTTTTAAGGAGTATGTCAGAGTAAAGTAACAGTCAAATTATTTATGCTTACATCATACACAAAGTTTTGCAAAAATAATTGATTAACCCAAAATTGGGCATAGCCCTGAAGTAGAACACACACATGCACACCAGCTGCTCAGAAGCTTTGCCCCAGCCTCCTCCAGTGACATTTTGTGATTCTGGTTTCATGCATTCCACTCTACAGATCTTATTCCATTTGCACGACCTTGGCAATGCCGCACAAGTATGCGGCTGTGTACTTGGAAATTCCAACTTCTTACAGCCATCGGAAAACTGCTAAATCTACACTTGATCTCTCTGAAAAGGGGAGGACCTGGCAAAGAGTTGGCCTTGAGCTCTGCACTCAACAGAGAAAGTAGCACAGTAACAGTGAGATTGGTCCAGTTCCACAGACCCAGAAAAAGGGGGGAACTTGAAGCACCAGTCTGAAAGTGGGGCAGGAAAGCATGAAGAGTTCCCCTAGCCCACAGAGCCCTCCCTGCGCGTCTCCACCAGCCAGCACTTTTAAAACAGCACTAGAAGCAGTGGGCTGAGGGCTGCACTGCAGTCCCAGTCGCACAAGCCCTGGCCTCAGTAGAGACAGATCTTTCTAGGCCAAATCAAAGCAAAATGCTTTTTCCACCGCTAGTTTCTCTCAGTGGGGTTTTGAGGTTTGGAGTTCTGTTTTACTGGATGAAAAAGAAACAACAAATCAATGGAAGAACGCTTAGATTTAAAAAAGAAAAAGAGAAATAGTTAGATTTAATGTGGTGGATTGGGGCAAAATTCTCTTGGTTTACACTTGCACTGTTGGCATTTAATCACTGCATTTTAATAGGAAGGGCTGAGTAAGCTGTTAATGTTCTTTGTTTATGAAGACATTTCCAATATCAAAGCAAGTCCATGGGAGACTTCCATTTCAATTTTTTTCAGTAATTGTTTTTGAAGCATGACACAGTGTGACAGTAGTTTGGTTGATAAAGGTTTTAGTGGACTTGTCTTGTCTTAACACAGAGACTTTTCCTGTAATGTTATCCATAAATGTAATAAGAAAATATTTGGTGTCCGTATTTGACTTGAGTTTTCAACCTCACTAGACAACCCAAGAAGCCTGCTATGGTTTGTTAAGGGGCTACACTTAACGTAGATTCCACGGGCATGTAGAGGACCAAGATGTTCACCAAGATGAAATAATCTTGAATTCCTATGAAAAAACATACATTTGTGTTTTATAATGTTTTTACTTATATAACTGGTCTGTGATGAACTTTTGATTGATTATGCTAGCTCATTAGTACAGTAGTATTACACAGTACATCATTTGAAGTGTGGCGAATAGTGAAATTGTTTTTTTTCTCTATTTCTCGTTTTTTCTTATTATCTATATAAAGTACCTTCATCAGCAGCAGTCACAGTAATGGTGGTGCCGCTAGATGGCAGAACACTCAAACCGGTTTGTATATATATGAGAGAATAAAATAAAATGGATGGAGTGGAGTGGCATGACCAGCAAAAAATACAAAATTCAGCAGGAGACAGAAATTACAGACATTTCTTGAAGTTGAACCAAAACAATTAGCTGAAAGAGGCACACTCAGGTGATAATTAACTGTGGGTTTGTCACTATGAGGGACCACTTTCATTTTTAGATGGATAAATCACTTTTCCTCCCTTCCAAGCAGAAGGAATGTTTGAAAATCACAACCAAAAGACAAACATATATAAAGGATCATGTAAATGTGGCATCGTCTTGTATTCAAAGAGTTGCCATTGTGCAGCCTGCCCTAAGGCACTCAAATGTTGGATGCTCCCTCCAGGACCTGAACGCACCAACCCAGAATAGTCTTCAAAGCAATCCCACACAGATTCAGCTAGCTGATTATCATATTGTACAGAAATTAATGGAAACCATTTACTATCTGGTGGTAGGAAAATGCATTCATCAAACTCAAACAGGAATCCGTTCTTTAGAAACACTTGGCAGCATCAAGGTACACACAATGTTTAGCAAGGGTCACTACCAAAGTGCAACATTGCATTTTGGGTAAACTTTACAATTCAAACACTTTTTTTGTGATTTCATTGTTTTAGGCACAACTGTGTGCATTACACAGCATCAGCTTACACATAGCTGCAGTTGAATGGAATGTTTCCTCGCTGCTTACACCCGTGTGTTTTTGTTGTGGTTCTGAAGGGTCGAAGTTGGATTGTGAAGCGCAGCTATGAGGATTTCCGTGTCCTGGACAAGCACCTGCACCTCTGCATTTACGACCGACGCTTCTCCCAGTTGCCTGAGCTGCCTCGATTGGACAGTCTGACTGATCAGTCAGAGGTAGGCACCAAAAATACACATTCACACACTCGCTCAGTGGATTTCTAACTACAAACTGAAGCATTCAAGGCCGTAAGCAAAATAATCCACTAAGGAGCTTTATTGGATTTAGTTCCCATTTTCTTCACATTTAACTTGAATCCTGGCCACAGGTAAAATCTTATTAAAACAAGTTTTTTTTTCACATAGAGTATGCAGTATTAATTTTCTTTTTTATTTGGGGAACCTTGCTTTTCTTAAATCTCACACACTACATTACACTCTCACTAAACCATACATTCTTGGTCAACCCCCTAAATTAAATGAATGATAGCTCCTCAAATGCTTTTAAAATCCAAGCTAACAAGGTATCACTTATCTAGATAAAACCTATTCCAGTTACTGTGCTTTGATATCCAATATGATCTACATGGCTTTTGTCTTGGGAATGCACAGTTTGGTAATTTGCCAGCTATTCCCTCTTCAACCTGCCTGTGAAACATATTCCGAGCCACACAAAACCTTTATGGTCAGATAGAGGCTTTAAAAGGAATGCAGAGGTATCAAACCAAACTGGTAAAACCAGTTTATCACTGAGGGGTATTGTGTGTGTGGACGCTTTCAGAATAATAGCTTGACAAAGCTGCCTGCAGCACACTGTTATACTTTGACCAGTAGCTGTATATATGGGATTCTTAAGGTCTCAATTGTGAACACCACTTCTTCTCTTTAAAGTTTACTGTCATCATTAGCTCAATCATGCAGATGCTGGGCACCGGAAACTAAAATTTGCTAAATAAAACTAAATTTGCCTTGTAATATGAAATTATAACTGCAAATGTCATTTCAAGTGGTTTACCACCATGCAACACTCTCTAACACTGTAATTAGCTGCCTGTCACTCAAGAAACAGACAACAAAAACAGCTGATGACTTTTAATGGTAATTATTAACACCCATCGTAAGAGCTCAGTTTAATGTTCAACGTTTTATTACAGCAGTAAAAAGTACCATCTGCAGTAAATGACTCTAACTGGCCTGTGTGTTTTCTTCCATCTCAGTCAGTTTCACAGATGTTGTTAGCTTACCTCTCCCGGCTCTCAGCCATCGCTGACAACAAGATCAACTGCGGGCCCGCCCTCACGTGGATGGAGGTAAGGCTGCACTGTCATCAGTCTTAAAGGAGCTCACTGACTCTTTAGCAGAAAAAAACACAATATTTTCTGTGGGCCCGAGAGCCAAAGGTCTGAGGCTTTTCTTTAGACAGCTATTATTTATTATTATTTCTGCCTTTGGATGGTCTTACCTACACATGGAATGGTCATTCAGGAAATTCTGTTGCACATTGTGAATAAGGAAAACCACTGTAGTATTCTTTTCCAGTTACAAACCTGCAGGATTTTTAACACAATTTCAATTCATTTCATTTGTTATGGATATATACAGTTTACATAGTAAATAGCTAAATATCCAGTGCAGTGTATCACAGCAGTTATAGCTACAGCTAATTCCCAGTGCCCAATGTAATAGCCATGCAGAGTAGGACTGCAACTAAGGATTATTTTTGTTACTGATTAATCTGTCTGTCATTTTCTCAATTAATCAATTACTTGTTTGGTTCATAAAATATCAGAAAATTGTGAAAAATGTTGATCAGTGTTTTCCAAAGCCAAAGTGTCAATTGTCTTCAGTTTAGTGTCATGGAGGAATGAAGAAACCAGAAAATATTCAAATTTGAGAAGCTGAAATCTTGAAAGAATTTCTTAACAAATGTCCGAAACGATTAATTGATTATCAAAATAGTTGCATATTAATTTAATAGTCGACAACTAATCGATTAATCAACTAATCCTTGCATCTCTAATGCAGAGTTTGCTGTTTGAATTGCTGGAGCTTTAGTCTCAAACAATGCAGAGTTATCTAATGCCGCAAAGAGAAAGACCAAAAATACCCAACAATCAACAAATAAGGAAAGGAAGACAAATGGTGACAGAAAGTCATTGCAGATTAAAACCAGGAACTGGGGCCTTATAGTCTCCTACTTTGCTGTAAAAGATTAATGTAAATTTCTATAGCTACAGTTAGGGCTGGGCGATAAATCGATTTTATCGATTAATCAAATTCATAGTTAAACACGATTTATTTTTAGTTGAAATCGGTTTTCTCTTGAACTTCCACAAGACCGGCGCTCCCTTTGGGCTAGTGATGGGTCGGTCGCGAACGATCCGGCTCTAAGAGCCGGCTCTTTGAAGTGAACGACGGGAGCCGGCTTCTGATTGGGAGCCAAATCTGGATTTTTTTCACCCCAGATTTTCACATTTTTCCTGTTAAAGCCGCGTGATTGGTCAAGATGTGTGGCGGCATCTGTGTATCTACACTGAGCAGGAGGGGGAGGGAGGGGTTACAGACACACGAGGCACAGTGAGCACGTGAACAAGTGGGAGGGAGATGTGAGAGCGAGAGACCTTGGCGCTACATAGACAGAGACTACACACTGGAAAGGTGAGGAAAATGAGTGACAGGAAACGTAGTAAAGTTTGGACATATATGTATGTGGTAGACAGTTCAAAGGCAGAGTGTAGACTGTGCAAAGTTAAAAATTTCATATCAAGCAGCTTTTTGTCTGATTAAGATGGATCTTTGTTTTTGTGTTTTATAATTTATTTTTGTAGCACTCTGTTCTATGTTGAGTATATTAATAAATCCATGTAAATACTAAACATTTGATATAATGCATGTATTTACATTAGATATTCATTTTACACATAATTTGGTAATAAATTAATTTAAGCAACAAAAAATATGAGGAGCCACTTGGGAGCCGAAAGAGCCGGCTCTTTTTAGTGAGCCGAGCCAAAGGAGCTGGTTCTCTAAAAAGAGCCGGAATTCCCATCACTACTTTGGGCTCCCGTAGGTCAGAGTGCGCTGACCTCTCCACAGATAAACACAATATGGCAGCAAGCCAGGATGAGCTCATCCCCAAAAAAGGTTGTTTGGAACTGGTTTGGTTTTGTGGCGTCCGACAGCGAACAAACCACGACCCACTGCAAAGTTTGTTTGAAAGCTGTTGCAACCAAAGGTAGCAGTACGACCAATTTATTCCAGCACCTCAAGCAGAGGCATGCAGCCGAGTGGGAGAAATGTTGCTCTCTGCGAGATATACAGGACCGCAGCCCACAAACCGCTAAACCTCGCTAAAAAAACAGTCTACAAAAAAATCGATTAAAATCGTAAATCGGGTTTCGTGTGAAAAAATCGGAGATTTTATTTTTAAGCCATATCGCCCAGTCCTAAGCTACAGAATTACTATAGCAATACTTTTATATTGCTGCAGTGTTACTAAAGCCTTGTTTCTAGCTATCCCCATACTAATCCATTTCTTTTCAGCAGTAGAAATCCTTGAATAAGCTGATAGAAAAGGAATTGCTGAATTTCTTCTGCACTCTACCAAACTTTTTTGGCAGGGCTATTATATTGTCATGTTTCTGTAACTTTTCCACCCATTCGATCGTTAGCTGATGTGTGTGTGTGTGTGTGTGTGTGTGTGTGTGTGTGTGTGTGTGTGTGTACGTGTGTGTGTACGTGTGTACGTGTGTGTGTGTTCTAGGTCGACAATAAGGGAAATCATCTGTTAGTCCATGAAGAGTCGTCTATCAATGTGCCAGCTATTGCTGCTGCCCACGTCATCAAGCGCTACATCGCACAGGCCTCAGACGAGCTGTCCTTTGAGGTGACAACAACAACAACAGTTCTCTCTGTCACACAAACACACACACACACACACACACACACACACACACACACACACTTCTCTCTCTGTGTCTGTATGCTGAAATTCCATTCTAATTCCTCGCTGATATTTCCTCAGCTGCTTGACAGTGATGGCCTTTGCACACCAAGTACATCATTTTTGTTTGCGTTTTTTTAATCCATCATCCGATGAAAATCATTAGTCTGATGTCCTTTGTTAATCTCACAATTCAAGACAGAGGCATCCACCAATGAGGATGACTTTGTGCTCCTCTCTCTTAAAAGTAGAAAAAGAAAAAGGAAATATTGGGTCAGAGGTGTCAGACAGGGAGAGTTTCACCTGCTGATAAAGGAGCTGTCTACTCCTGCAAAGCCGGACACCGCTGTCGCTCTGTCTCTCGCTCATTCTCTCTCATTTCCTCCCTTGCTTATCTCCACTGGTTGCTTGATGTCAGACAGAAGTGTCAACTCGCTGGAGCAGGTGGATTCGAAGGTCTGAATACAGAAACCTCCATTGGAGGAGCCTCTGTAGGCTGTCGCCACTCTCTGCTCGAATTTTGCTTTTGTGCACCGTGGCTACAAGAGGCTGAGCTGTCCTTAATCTCCGTGTCCACACTCTCGCTCTCTCTCTGTCTGTCTCTGTGCTGTCCTTGTTCTCTTTCTTTTGATTCAAACTTATTCTGAAAACATTAAAGCTGCAGTAGGTAACCTTTATAAAAAAAAATACCTTTTTGTCATTATTCCTGAAATTAGAAAGATATAAAGAAGCTCTGGGTTGGAGGCTTGAAAATAGTTGATTGATCTCCTTCCCAGGGTTTCAGAGTGTCGCTGTTTGATGCCCTGGGAATGAGACTCAACAATCAACTGTCTTTCTTGGCTCTGATTGGTTGTTTTCGTTCAGGCCCGGTGGATTCTTCCAAATGTCATTAGGAGCACTAGGAGGAGCCAGAGGAACCTGATTGTTTCACAGATTATCTGTCTCATGAATTACTGTCAGGATATAGTGAAAGTTTCAGCAAATATAACAGAAAAATTACCTACTGCAGCTTTAATGACAGACAAAAGTTTTGGAGTTGTTGTGTAATTGTGATCAACAAAGTGTGAGGAGGTACCTTAAATAACACGGACTTGGTGTGCAAAGGCCTTAAGAAAGAAAGAGAAAATGGACTGCAGCAGCAATAAAGCTGTCCTTTCGATACAAATGTTTACTGTGAGCAAATTCAGAATAGGCTGAAAAGGTAAGTATGAAGACTTTCTGAACCAGTCAAATTGCTCAGAACATATTTACCAAAATGATGCTTTTGTGATTGATAGTTCAAGCCTCGCTATGTAACGTCTTACAAAGTTATTTTTTTGGCCTTTTATTGCCTTTATTGGATAGTGAAAGCTGAAGACAGACAGGAAAGGGGGGCAGAGAGAGAGGGGATGACACGCAGCAAAGGGCCGCAGGTCGGATTCAAACCCTGGGCCGCTGCAGCAACTCCGTACATGGGTCGCCAGCTCTACCGACTGAGCTAACCGGGGGACCACGTCTTCATTTTTAGCAGTCATTGATGTCTTCTATGGACGGAGGTAGAGGGACAATCAGACACATCTTTAATCTTTCCTTCCTCTGTTGCTCTCTGAAGGTTGGCGACATTGTGTCAGTGATTGACATGCCCCCGAAAGAAGACACCACGTGGTGGAGGGGCAAGCATGGCTTTCAGGTACGCAGCTCACATAACACTTTGCAGGCTGGGGGCAACAAAACACAATGTCTCTTCTCCTGGCTGTAAATGTTTGATTAGATTTGTACTTGAGGCATTTCAAGGACAAGGAGAGAATGCTGCTATGTAAAGCAGATTTGAAATACTCCGAGTTTGTCCAAAGACAAAACAAAGAAACAAATCCTCTTTTATGTGAATCTTTTGAGCAGATTACAGGGTGTGTGCCTCCTGCTGTAACGCTGAACTCATTCATATTCCTTCGCAGTCGTCGGTACAATCCTATAACACACTGAAACTTGTGCTGTTCAGAACTTAAGTCGACTTCAGTTCTCCCAGTTTCAGCTCTCAGCATCAGAGCATAGATAGACTATTTTTGTTTACGGTACTTTGAATTTTGCCTCTAAATGAAATAAAGATGAAGACAAATTTAGAAACTTAATAACACATAATAAAATGTTTGTGCATATATCTGTTTTGAAACTAGAAAAAAACAAACTGTTAAATTAACAGCCTTTCCGGTTATTACAATTTTGAAAACACAAAGAGGAAATTCTGTGCTAAAAATACTAACATTGGATGATATCCACTTGATTTGATTATACTTTTGTGCATCGGATTATGTAATACTAACTGTGTCCAGTGGATTTAAACTATCTCTGAGTAAATGTTTAGGATTAAAGATAATTTATTTTCTGCGCTCGATGATCTCAGACAAATCCCAAATGGTCAACCAGGTCAGTCCCAGGACCTGACTGTGTGATGAGCGGCTGTCTTTGTAAATCAGGAGCTGAATCCACATAGAATGTGGCCTCAAATTCAACAAAAACTGCAGTGCACATTTTCCTTGCCTCCTTTTCTTAATTAGCCCTGTGTCTCTAAATTGTGGTCCAATAATGTCAGAATGAAACTCTTATATTATTGTTAATTCTGCCCATCATTTATTTTCAACCTTAAAACCTAAACTCTGCTGAAGAGATTACATTAGTTGCAATCAGAAGCTTTTCAGTGCAGCAACAAGGCCTGGTCTTAAGGCTCAAGTCTGGCTGAACCTCCTCTGACCTGCTGCCCCCTCTCCACACAGCCCTCTGTGTGTTTTGGTTCTCTGCCTACAAGTAGTAGCCCCGCCAGTCAGGCTCACTGACAGGGTGGCAGCCAGGACGCACTCACTGATCTGTTCAGTTATATTCCGGACGAGCTGTCTGCCCTCCTCTGGACTGCACAGCTTCTCCTTCTGAACAAACGCATGGAGAGACTGTCTTCCATATGGATGCTGACTTTGAGCCAGTGGAAACCTGACTTTCATATATATCAGATCTGCACTTTCTAGATTCATACTAACCGTGGCTGAAACTCAAAGGGGACATGTGTTGAGGGATTAAGTGACAGAACCACACCTGCAGTACCACCTGTATCCATTAGGGGGTAGTCAGCCAGTCATTAATGTTAGAGGTTGTGTGTGTTTGAGTGTCATCTGGTAGTCCTACACAATGTAGAGTTCAGGTTTTTTTTTCTTTCAATATGGTTCTTTGAAAGCAAAGCTGTACCAAAAGTGATACCTTATGTGTGAACACCACCTGATCAGTAAATGTCCAAACCAAGTCCAAAATGCCATCTTAGCCACAGTGCTTCTAACACCAAATTCAGGCAGGGTTTCCATTCGTCCTGGAAAACCTGGAAATTTAGAGACAAATTTTCCTGTCATGGAATGACTAGAATTTGATTAAAATTACCCCAAATCCTGGAAATAATTTATGTTGTCCTGGAACATTTTTATTGTATTTTAGCTCCTCACTCACGTTGCCAGATTTTCTCTAAAACAAGATACATTCTTCTTGATTTGAACTGTGACCTATGGGCTGTGGCCACATGGTGAGAGGAAAATTCTTCTGCCCCAGCAGAAAAATGAGCTGTGGTGAGCCAAGAGTGCCGCAAAAGCGAGGTAACACAATGTCATACAAATAACTCTGACCACCTACCTGTATTAAACCTGAGACACTTTATCCTTATCGTTAAAAAATAATCAATACAAGGCAATCAATTAGATGACTGTTTGGGAGTAAGTGCTGTCCTGTATTGTCAATAAAAACTCTTGGAAAATGTCCTGGAAAGGTGTTGAAATTCTTAAAAAGAGGGAACCCTGTCAGGTGATTGATGTAACAACCACACCTCAGTGTAGACACTGTGTTGTCACTCTCTCAGTCTTCATTTTATTATCTAAATCCGATTGCACTTCCTCCCCACCTCACCCTGCCTGTCTCACTCCTGTACTGTCTCCAGGTTGGCTTCTTTCCCAGCGAGTGTGTGGAGCTCATAAATGATAAAGTGCCGCAGTCCATGACCAACACGGTGCCAAAGCCAGGTACTCCTTCTCCTCCTCTTAAACCATTCACAGGAAATGTGTTGGAAGGAAGTTATCACTGAGGGCAGTTAATGCCCACTGGTATGGCCACGTTTTCAGGAAGCGGTTAGGTCTGTGATGGATGATGTGGCCCGGGGTCGTGTGTATGTGTGTGGTCTGAAAGACTTGTGTCATGGAATTGATTTTGTATTAAAAACAAGAGCTCTAGAGTGGATTTCTAGTGTGATATGTTTACGCCACCATTTCATAATTTTGAATGTGTGAAATGCAGTGAAGGTATAGATATTGCCTAACCTGAAAATGAAATATACAGAGCTCTGTTAGAGGCCTTTGCCTGTTTTCATTTAACTGAATTATGACACATAATCATCAGTATAAAGATAATATAATTTAAATTTATGAGCATGTTACAGTGAAAGGAAACCTATAATTCTGATACGTCATTCCCTGAAATAGCCCGCTAATCATGTTATATTGACTCAGCACTATGCAAATCCACTGCAAATAACTGTGCTAATCTATTGCTGTCCAGAGCAAACAGATAAGCTCTTTAGCACGCGCCTGAGAGTGTCAAAGACAAAAGTATAACATAAACCCTTGTGGAATCAAAGAGAGTGCTTAACAACATTTGGCGGCTGCGACACACACTCGAGCTCAACTTGAACTTTGCCCTCACTCTGAATTGCACACTGCAGTGCCCTATAGAAATAGCAGCTCACGTAATGTTGACCGAGCTCTTTTGATCAAACCTCAATGTCTTGTACGAATCCACGTCAGATCTTCCAAACCCAAAGACTGATTAAATCAACATGACTCGCTGTCACAACAGCCACTCGGCTGGCTTTGGGGTGGGGGAGTGGAGTCGGGGTTCCTAACCATCGAAAAGCCTCAGAGACTCCGGGGTCTGCATTAAGTGATGACACAGCAACCCCACAAGATCCACAATTATGAGGGTTGATATAGGCGCATGGTGTTATCTGTGCCAATCGAGTCTCAAACTCAAGTTTTTCAGCCTTTCAGACTGTGTGACTGATTAGAAATCCATGTTGTGGTGTACAGTTAACTGTTGCAGTACACGCACAGCACACTCCACAGTATTAATCTGCCTGCCCCCTCCCCTGCTTTTGAGCAATGTTTCAATGCTTGTTGCTCTTTTTCGTTTTTTGCATGTGTCCTTATTTGTCAGTCATGCATTTTTCACTCTACAGAGTATCCGCAGGTCAAGTATATTATTTAAATATTCTGAATACAGGATAATCAATTGCTTATTTATATTTATATATATCTTTGTTGATCTTTGTTACTGAATATGTTCTGAAGCTATGTTCAATTACAAATATGTAATTGGTTTATATTCTGCATACCGTAGTAATATCCAGTCTAATATTTGGTCTTCTAAAACCTGCAGATGCCCTGTTGTCAGTAGTATTAACATGATCTTAAATGAGCAGATCCTGGATCAAGTTCATTTTTAGCAGTTCCAGAACAAACAACTAAATGTAATGCTGTTTAATGCCCGTTTATGTGTCAAAACTGCACTGCTTGTTCTCCACTGCAATGCACCATTAATACTGTTGTTGTCTCCGTGCACAGGGATGTACAGTAGTTTTAGCATGTGTCTTGATTTGTTGCATTTTTGACTGTGACTCCTCTGCCTCAGCCTCCCCCTGCTCTGGCCTGCAGCCTGCTTCTTGGAGTCTCTTCCCTCCCTGTGCGTGTTGGTATACACACTTCATCCACCTGTCACTCTACCTATACTCACTCACACACAAAATGCATTTGCACATTTTGACTTGTATGACATTTTGTTCATCCAAGTTTGAATGTAGTTAAAGTTGTAATCCTTAAGTTTAAGTCTTGGTTGATTTGACAATACCCGTGGTCGATGGTAGTAACTGGGTAGTAAGTGCTGTTTAGTACTAATCTGTCAGAAATACAACAGTAGAGCAACTGGTGTGTCTGTTTACAGCACAGCCAAACAAGCTTACATTGTTTTAACAAATAATGACAATAACGGTAATAACAATTGGCCTTTACCTATAATGCCGCAAGCAACCGCCTTCTGATTTCATGCTGCACACAATGCGAGTGGTTTTCCACACAACAGTTGAGTTGGTTAACTTGCTGAAAAGTTGGAGGTGTGCAGCGTGTCGCCTGCAACTCTTTCTTTAACCGCTCACTGTGGCAGCTCCTGACTGTTCCGTTACCACTAGAAATACTCAAAACCATAAAATGCCATAGCACTAACTTTGGTGAACAATACATTGCATTTCCTGTGACTGCTTCACCATAAAACCCACAGCGTTTTTTTTACCAACGCTTTTAATGTGAACTAGCAGCAGCAGGAAACGTTTGGTCAGCATCAGCAATAAGTTAACGGTCCAGTGTGTAACATTTAGGAGGATCTGTTGGCAGAAATGGAATATAATATCCATAGGTATGTTTTCATTAGTGTGTAATCACCTGAAAATAAGAATAGTGAGGCGAGGGTGTTACACAATGGTCCTTCAAATACAGCTCTAGGGTAGGTACTATAGGCAATTTGAATGTATGTGGGAATTGCAGACCCTGCCACCAACAATGAAAACTACTATATAGTAAGGCAATTACAGAATATAAATGCACAGAATGGCTACTTCTGAAAAATGCCAACCATAAATATTGTCAAAGACTGGGATTATTTCAGAAGAATCTTAAGGATTATAACTTTAAAGTTAAATTGAAGTTCTCTCATGCGAGAAAACTTGTTTTATTGTTGAATGCAAAGTTTCTTTAATTGAGTATACTTCATTACTAAAAATTGTTTTATCTGTATGCTGTCTCATAAAACAGTTTATTGCTTTAGCATCAAAGTATCATTTCTATGCAAAGCTACTGAGCTCACAGTCCCAAAGTACACAGTTGCTCTGTTCTCTAACTTGAAGTGCTTCTCTCCCTCTGCTGATTCTCTCATGTCTCCATCGCCCATCCATCCATCTGTCTGTTGGTCCATCTGTCCATCGGGCTGCATGCAGACTTGGAGATGGAGAGTGTAATACAGGAGAGTGCATGGGTGGCCGACCCGCTTAACCACTACAGCCTAAGTTCAGGTAGACAAAATCCTTTGGTGTGCTGCACTGCCACCCACCTAACCAAAGACTTACTCCACAACCCCAAGTGATGTGTTTGCACTGTGTGACTCTAATACAACTAGTCTGTAAACCAGTTACAGGAGCTTAAAACTTTACGCTTTCTGGTGTATCATTATAAGACGAGAACCTCTTCACAACAAAGTGTCCTGTCTGTGACCTTTAACACACTTATTCACATTATCTCTACACTCAGTTGGTAGACCAATAAGACTGTAGCCACATCTGGTTGTGCAGTAATAGTAGAGTGTGTGTGTGTGTGTGTGTGTGTGTGTGTGTGTGTGTGTGTGTGTGTGTGTGTGTGTGTGTGTGTGTGTGTGTGTGTGTGTGTGTGTTGCACTTGCTTTCACTGGAATTGAATTGCTATAAACTTGTATAAGAACAGGGTCTGTATGATGCAATTAATGGCCATATTTCCCTTTTAAAGGTTATTTATGTGAGATTTAAAACAATATAGCAGCAAACGACTATTAGCAATGTAAAGATATAGTGGAGTCATGGTGTTACTATCGCAGGCTCTCTGTGGTTTCTTTACATAGCTGTGTGTGCAGCTGAGTGGAGCAACTGAAACCGCTGTATTTCTCATCTATGTCGGTGAATTAAGGATTTATTTCAACCAAACCAGAGTTGGTGATTGTTGGAACAGTGGAAAGACTAACAAAGACTGTTCTGGTGAGTTTTATTTTGTTTCTGGCCACACATAAAATCATGATGTTATAATGATATATGAGGTAAAATTAGCGTTTTTGTCTATGACTACTGAGAATAACAATCTGAGCCTATCAGTGGCAAAAACGTGCACTGTTAGTAGACGTACTTTGACGGGTGGATTTGTCTCCAAGGATTAACCTTTTCACAAATACTTTCACATCTAACTCTGTGAATTAAGGGTTTATTTTCGACCAAACCAGAGTTGATGATTGTTGAAACAGTGGAAAGACTAACAGGTGGGGAGTTTTATTTTATTTCCCATTGTTTTGGTCTGACATGCTGGTGCTCTAGTGTAACGCCCGCTGGCAAATTAAATTCATAAATATAACCTAAGTTTGTTACTTAAAGTCCTTCTGTATTGTAATATTTTTCTTAGTCACACTGCTGTATTTTGAATCTGCTTCAGGTTTTATCTATTTTTTATCTAGGTTTTGAGTCTATTTTGCGTCTGTCTGTAAAAGAAAAACTGTATACTGTACATAATAGTTTTACTATTAGACGTAGTGATGTAAAAATACAACCCCACATTTCATATATCCCTCTCGCCCCTGTTCTTTTTCTGTTTCGCCCTCAAGGTGTATGCAAATTACTTCAGGGGTGAGCCAGGTTACTACAGCATTTCTCAGAGCGGCTGAATGTACCCTGTGTCTGGACGGGGGCCAGCTGTGTTTGTGTGTGTCTGTTTGGTCGAAGCTGAAAGGGCGCGGCAGGGGTGCCGTGGTGCTAGGTCTCGACCGGCCTTGATTTATTTAATCCTTTTACAATGAGGGGGCCTGTAAACCCATCCATTGAGCGTTAAGCTTTGTCCTGCAACAGTAAGAATCTCTGTCTCCCTCTCCATGGTGACTGAAAGAGCACATTCCTGCAGGGAGCCACACAGCATTGGAAAAATATGCTTGCTCTGCCTAGATCCACTCTGCTCACCACTAACCTTTGCTGTTTTCCAGTCAAACCATGGAAATTGTTAACATGCCGCACTGCTCCAGTTAAAACGGAGACGATAGAAGCTATTAGGAGTTATTAGTCCTCTGGCCTATGTGCTGGTGTTGGTGTTGCTGTGGAATCTGAGAACAGAGACTACTCTCTTCACAGTAAAAATAGACTCTTTTGTTGACATCGGTGTGAAAACAAAGAGTTGTGAGCTTTGGATAAAATATGACTGTCGGCCTTCTTTCCTCCCCAGACAGCCCAATAGACCTACCAGTTACTGACCCAGATGTAGAGCCCCCCTCTGTTCCCCTTCTCAGTGCAGGCCTTCGTCATGTCTGGGGACCAGTGATTTGGGCAGCTGTGAGCATACATGAGCCAAGACAGCTGGTTGAGTGAGGGGAAGAGGAAGGGATATGAGGAGAGAATGTGTGAGACAGAGTAAGATTTGTCCTCCTGTTCCCGAGGATCTCAGATCATTTCCTGGTGCTCCGGTACTGGGCTGTGAAACTATTCAAGTAACTTGTTGTTCTGCAGCTTCAGTAAGAGACTCTTGTTGTGGACAGCATCTTTGTTTGTGGGAGGCAGCTTGTGATTACATACTGACAATTCAGGGTGTCGTAAACCAAGTGTGTAAAGCACAAAGATCATTTTTTACATATTTGCTGGCAAATGTTTGCAAATAAGTATCTGTTCCAGTTCCATTACACAAAGCTGTATTGTATTATTATTGTGATATGTTGCATTGGTGTTATTACTAAAATAAATGATTATGTACTTTGTTGTTGCAAAGCTCACAAGCAATTAAAGCTGCAGTAGGTCATTTCAATAAAATATTTTTTGTCATATTTGCTGAAACTTTCACTACATCCTGACAGTAGTACCTGAGACAGATAATCTGTGAAACAATCAGGTTCCTCTGGCTCCTCCTAGTGCTCCTAATGGCATTTACAAACATCCACCGGGTCTGAATAAAAACAACCTATCAGAGCCAAGAAAGATAGTTGATTGCTGAGTCTCATTCAATCAACAATCTCAACAATCAATTATCTTTAAGCCTCAACCTTCTTGAAAATGCCATTAGGAGCTCTAGAAGGAACCAGAGGAACCCGATTGTTTCACAGATTATCTGTCTCATGTACTAATTCTAGGACACAGTGAAAATGTCAGCAAATATGACAGTTATTTTCATTAAAGTGACCTACTGCATCTTTAACCAGCAAATAGGAATTGAGATTTACAGCCGTGTTTATGGCAAACAGCATAGCTTTTTGCTCCTGTACATTGAACTTTGTATGCAACTGAAAACTACACTTCCTCGTTCTTTCTGTATCACAGGAGTGAAAAAAACTGTTCACATCCATGCAAAATAGCAGCTGTATGATAGCTGTCATCCTGTTATATGCAATATGATTACTGGGGTTTTTCAGCACATTGCTAATAGTCTTCAGTCCTAAAGGCAAACTCCACCTGCTGCTTTACTGTCTCAGCCATCTCAATGACGACCATACTGCCTCCCACTGTTGTAAAAGTGCCAAATTAATATGATTTTATTTCAAAGGTATCGTGGGAAACGTATAAAAGTAAAAAGCACTGTAAATACAAAGTGGACAAATCAGATAGAGGAGAGAGAACTCCAGACTCACTGTATCTTGTTTATGCAGCCCCATGCTATCCATTACAGCTCCTCCTCATGATCAGCTCAGGGAGAAAATGGTAGGATGATTTCACTCTGTACTTTCAGAAGTTAACCATTTCACCAGTCAGTCATTAAAGTTGTTTGAGTTGACCTTAGTTTGACTTTCTCAGTAACTTTGCCCAGTGTGTTGAGTAAGTGCTCTGTGATATTAGAGGGAAAAAACAGTTTTATAGAGAATGACGATGTATTAAAGTAAAAGTACTGGTTCTGCAAAAAAAACTAGTGACTGATATATTATTATATATTACATTATTAGATAATTAATACTGATGCTTAATGTTGTACCTAGTTTGAACTAATTTATATACAGTTAGGTAGTTTAGTCCAGTGGTTACCAACCTAGGGGTCCGGCCCCTCAAAGGGTCACAAGATAAACCTGTGGGTTTTGAGATGATTAATGTGGTAGGAAAGGTAAGGAAGATAAAAACTTACTTATGTTTCACAGATGTTGTACTTTTTGTTTGGACTAACTCTGCCTTTATGTGAAATATTGGATAAAGTGACCTTTAATTTAAATGAACCTTCTGAGAAGTACAAAATGGAAATGTCTCTTTGGTGGAACTGCTAACATCTCTGACATCTTTTTTGTAAGATATCACAAGCCAACCAGCCAATTTTGTCTGCTCATCATATGTTTTTATGTGAAATCTTAATTTGTAAAGTAACTAGTAACTATAGCGAAGTACAACATTCTCCTAGTGGAAAAAGTAGTGAAATAGAAGTATCAAGTTGCATAAAATTCAAATATCCCAAAGTACAAGTACCTTAGAACTGCACTTGAGTAGATGTACTTAGTTACTTTCCATCGCTGAAGATGAAAAATATCAGACGGTGTACGTGTAGAGAAATTTAAGGCTCAGCCCAAACTTGTTATACACATGTCAACTTAAAGCAATTACATGCTGTGGAGAACTCTGACTGCAGTCTTGTGATTCTGGACCAACAACAAATTAGTTAAACTTTATTTTGACTCAACATGTCTGCTTAGGGACTAAACCAGTTAAGGAATTAATAAGATAATGCTTTCAGGGGGCTGAGGGGCCCCTCAGAGGGGATAGCAGATTTAAAGTCAAGGCAAGGGTTAGGGTTATCCTGTATGTTGTTTAAGGTGGACTGAATCATTGTGACAGTCGGCGAGTGTCAGCTGGGGGTCGGTCGACAGCTTACAGGACTTTGAGAGTCTCTCTCCCAACCTAACACCAGACCAGTTGGAGCCTGATGAGTTGTTTGATTGTGTCAGTCTGGGCGGACATTGAAACTGTAAACCTGGCAGCAGCCAAGGGGAGATTAGGTCAGGGGGGAAGAAAATAAGAATAACAGGAAGTTTACTCTACTTCCACTCTCATAGTAACTGTGTATCATAGTTTCTCAACCCTCAACCTAATCCAGTCTAGAGGGTTTGTAGCAATTTTATGAAACTTGTATGCAGGCCTTGAAGTACACAACTAGTATATTATTTGCCTAAGTAAGTAATTATTGTAATTAAACAATTGTTAAATTTGGAGAGTCACTACAGAATAATAGCGGGGATGCTGCTTGTTAGAGGTGTGTGTGTGTGTGTGCGTGTGTGCGTGCGTGTGCGTGCGTGTGTGTGCGTGTGTGTGCGCGTGTGTGTGCGCGTGTG